AAATCCCCCCCCCCATTTTAGTTTCATTGCTGCCTCCAAAAAACCAGCCACGTCATCTTCAGAGGATACAGAGGTTAACGTCTACCTCAATGGTCCTTGCATTCTTGAACAAAGCAACCCTCTAGATTATTGGAAGATCCATGAAAAAACTTTCCTACCCTAGCTCTACTAGCCAAATGCTACCTGAGAGTTCCAGCATCCTCTGCCCCCGTTGAGCGTTTGTTTAGCATCAGAGGCAAAATCCTCAGACCTGACCACTGCTATCTCACTGACAAAACATTTGAGAGACTGATGTTCATAAAGAACAATGGACTTATCTATAAGTCTCCTTCAAAATCACATTTTTTGTTCTAAAACTTTGTTTTTGCATTTTTAAAAATAAAAATATTGAAATGTTATTATTTGTTCAAATCTGGTTTGTTTCAATTTCTAAAAGTTTGTTTCTTGAAATAAAAGTATCGAAATCTTATCGTCTGCTTTTTTATCATTATTGCATATTACCTGACAAAGTATTTATGAATACATTCCTATGTATTCGTGTTCGTGTTCGAATAGTTAGCATTATTCCTGTATTCGTTTTTGTATTCATAAAAATATGAAGTATTCGTATTTGTATTCGATTACTGATCTCCAGTATTCGCCCCATCCCTGTATGAACTTTTATCCACTTCGAGCTCTGATAGCCCGTAGAAGGTTTATGTTGTTTTTTTCCATCCAGTTGCTGATGTTATTCATGTATTTAAGTTTTCGTCTCTCTCCGCTCTTCTTCCTTTCAAACTCGTCTGTTATTGCGAGATTTTCCTTACCCGCTCTTTTCATAATGTGTGGTAAACACTGAAGTTGCCTATTATTTGCCCCCCAGTGGCACAGCGGTATGTCTGCGGACTTACAACGCTAGAATCCTGGTTTCGATACCCGTGGTTGGTAGAGCGCAGATAGCCCATTGTGTAGCTTTGTGCTTAATTACAAACAAACAAAGCCTATTTTTTATTATTTTCATAACAGACCTCTGAACTCTTGCTCTTTGTACCAATTCCTCATTTGTCAGTTTTTGTGTTCAAGATATTCTCAACATCCTCCTAATGTAACACATTTCAACTGTTTCTAATCTGCTTTGCATAATTTTACTAATTGTCTAACTTTCACATCCATATAGAAACGCGAACCAGACATAACATTTCAGCACACATATTTTAGTGACCATGGTGAGATTTCTGTTCTTCAATACATTTTCCATTTACTGAAAAGTTTCCTTAAATAATGCTATTCTCCTTTTAATCTCTGACTCGCTCCTCCTATCTGGTGTAATGTATCTCTCCAAATAGCTAAATTTTTCTCTTTTTGCTTTATTCTTTTCCATGTATTGCTATTGTCCGTTTCTTGGTTACTACCATGCATTTTGTTTTCTTGTGAGTAATTGAGAGACCAAGTTGTTCACTTTCGGTGACGACTCTGTTCAATATTATTTGTAAATCATCTTATATTTCTACTATAAGTATAGTATCATTAGCGTATCGTAGACTGTTTATATTATGGCCACCGATGATCAACCCCTTCAAATGAGATATTTCTTTAGTGGTATTTTCGCTGTACAGTGAAAAACAAGGATACACATTAAATTCTCTAGTGAAATGCAACAAATGAAGTTTGATAGCAGTACTTATTGCGCCAGCCTTGATGTTGAGTCGTTGTGTACAAAAATACATTACGGCATTAGAATCGAGTATACAGTTGAACCCTGATTTGATTTTTAACAACAACTCTAACAACCTGACTACTCAGAAATCACTGTTTTTGAAGCTGATGGGCTTTGTCATAAAAGGAATCATTTCCTTCTAAAATTAAATGCCAATCTTTATGATAACGTTGTAAGCTATATTTTTAATGTTGTAATTTGTTAGCTAGAAGGGGTGGAACGCCCCAAAATTTCTAAGGTTTGACGTCAAGTTTTGTTCTAGCACATTCGAACGTAGATTATAAATACGACGTTTCGTGAAGCATCATTAGGTTAGTTAGAAAGTGAGTTGAAAGATATTCAAGAAAATAGTAAGTACAGTTATTTTGAAGATAGATAGTTGAATCAGTCGGTGTATTAGCTATCGCGGTTACATTGTATAAGTAAGTTGATTTGTTTTATGTAAGTTAACGTTATTTGTAACGCAGGCCTAAAGCAAATTTTCGGCATCGTCCAAGTGTTCAAGTTTATATGAACATTAAAGAAGGAATTAAAGTAATTTACTATCGTTACTTGGACTAGACGTTTTATTATTTTCACCATATAATTTAAAAGAACCCGCCAGTGAAAGAATAACGTCACAAAAATAAGATAGATGGGGTTGCACTCTTTGGTTAATATTTTTCTGTGCTATCATGGAAATCAATGATGGAAAACTATTCGTAATCATTCAAGCCGATTTATTACAGTAGATATGTTGATGGTACGTTTGTCACTGTTAGAAACTCTGGTCAAGTTTCTCAATTTCTTGAATACCTAAACGGTAAACATAACAATATAAATTCACTGTTTAACATCAACAAGATCGAAAACTCTCATTTCTTGACACATTGATTGATAACAATAATGGCTACTTCCAATGTACAGTATACCACAAAAAAAGTTTACTGACCTGTATTCTAATTTCACAAGTTTCGAATTAAATTTTTTTAAAGAAAATTTAGTTAAGATTTTGCTCTATCGTATACAAAATATCTAGTATTTGGGAAGCCTTGCATGAAAAATTCAATAAGTTAATATCATCGAATAATTCTCATGTACAATGTTTTTTCCTATTTATGTTATTAATAGAATACTTCACAAATATCTGAATTAGGGAAGTTTTAGTATGTCATCCGTACATGAACTTACTAAATATACTGCTGTTATTAACTTACCATACATGAGTACATACTATTTGATTATTAAAATTCAGTTTGGTATATCCTCAAACACGGTTGAGATGTGTTTTTGAGTCTGATTGTCGCCTACTATTTTTTTTTTAAATCTGAGAACCGTATTCTTTCATGAAACTTTGAAAGTCATCAAATGCACTTTATAAATTTACGTGTGCCTATTGTCATCAAGGCTTTATCTAGTCCACCAAAAATATTTATCCATAATCAGGCCTGACGCAGAAGGTTTGAAAGGGGGGTTTCTAATTTGTGAGATCAAAATCCAACACATTTTCTGTGGATGTGCCCCCAGAATATTTGTAAAAATAGGTGCTATGAGATTAAGTCTGCAAGCAATATTTCATGAAATGTAGCTTAAACAATTGCATGGCTGTTCACATAATATCCACAAACATCCAATGAAAAATCAACAAATTATTTTGTTGTCACACTACATGGGGAGCTAAACTTAAATTAACATAAAGGTGTATGTTGTATTATAGTAAAGTACTGTACTATATATATATATATACACACATTGTTAAGTTATATTATTAATTTAAACAACTCTGTACAACAATAGTATATTAGGTAATTCAATCATTGGCTATCATATACATACATGTATGCACTACTGAAATAACATGTTGGCATGCTCCATTCTTCTGGGATGCCTTTCCATAAATAACTTACATACAGTTTCAATGTTGATAGCAGTGTCATAATGATTATGCATTAAAGCTATCTACTGTAAAGAACCTGAGCTACAAAACCTGACAGTAGCAATACGGCTTCCAAGTTCCAATTACAAAGTGTTGCATGCAATTATTTCAAGTCAGAAAATGGTAATACTTCATCAGAAGAATGTAGACTATGTAGAAATGGCTAAATACCATAAGCAGCTGCGCTATAACTATATATAAGGATGATTTTTTTACATCACAAAAATCACGGTTCGGCCGAACCCCCTGCGTACGTGCGTGGTTAACTCGTTTAAAAGAATATGTAAATTCGAGATTCACAACTTGATTGAGCGTAACATGCTCTAGATGAATGTGACGTAGTTGTACATTCAAATTATTTTAAGAGCTCAGCAAGGGCTTCCGTATATAAAAGAGCTTGCTCATACAAAACTGAGACCTGAGCTCTTCGTGTAAAATACATTTAATACTACATTACAGGTTTTTTAAACAATGATAGTTTTTATAACGGAGCTCCATAATTAGTTTGTAGTTCTACTAACTATTCTTCTTTTAATTTATTTATTTTCTAAATTTATTAATTTTTTTACTCTGTTTAAACAATATTATACTTTAAGTGTGTGAGGTATTATGCCAAACTGCTAGTTACGTTTTTTCCTTTAGAAAACAAACGTAGAAAAATATCGCAATACGACTGTAAGTGTATATTTAAATAGTCTCACTTTTACGAACTACCAGTCAACGAAGAATGTATAACAGCATTTTATTTTCAACAACTTTTTTTTTCTCTCCCCTCTCCTTATGCTGTGTATTTCTGTTGGTAATTGAGCTCATCAGATGATATCTTGATACATGGACACGGTGTCTCAGTTAATTCTGAAAGTGTTGAATAACAAAGTCAAGTTGTTTGAAAATATTTGCCTTCCACTTACTTAAAACTTTTTTTTCTAGCAAAATAGCGTAAAAACAATTACGTTACCAGTAATATTAAACAATTTCAGCTGTAGTCAAATTTAATAATATTTTAAGAGCTAAATAACTATTTAAGAATAAGTTAACATTTAGGTTTCTAGATGTTATGATTATTGTTTATGTTAGTAAACTTGTTGAGACTTAAACATAGTTCATAGCTTGCCCATTAAAACTCCTAACGATTTTAAACACCTGAAACACCCACTACAACTTGCTTTTTTCTTCCCCAGTATGTTAATATTCTTAAGCATATCTTTTATAGCTCAAGCTACATAGATTTCGGATACGTTATTTTGTATAACAGTGTTCCTAAATGTTATCCTTACTAATATTTTTTTACATATTTTTTTTATTTACTTTTTGCATTATGGGAATGGTTACACTTTGGAAATTCTCCCTAAGTTTATGGTGTCTCTGAGTCGGGTTGAGAGCAGCCATATTTTCCGCCTTTTTATTCGTGGCCAAATGTTAGCGAACTTCATATACTTTAAAGGTAGATTTACCTTTCATAGTTGAATATTTGTTGTATTATGTTGTAATTTTAAGCAATATTCGAATTTTAAGGATCTAGAAAAATTTTGTTTTTAATACAAAATAATTAAATAGAAGAACTACCGTTGAAAAGTCTATCTTTTACGAATAATAATAATGGGCTTGTCAACCATTTTATGACTCCCTTGTCCGTCGACGTTTCATCTTAGCCCCGTGTTCGACCGGTAAAGGCGCGGGCTTGCAACGTCAAAAATCGGGTATGGAACACGAATTGTTCGATTCTGGGCCTAATAGTAATACAACGGTTAGAACTAGTGTACTATTCATTTTATTGTTGATCTTATTGTAACATGTACGTTTGAAATTGAACACTCGGAATAGTAGTATTGTTATAGATAAATGTTTGAAGCGGTAATGTAAGTGTAACTTTTAAGTAAAATGTGTGTGATATACCATTACGTTTGTTATAGTTTTACTGAATTTTGTCCTAAATTTAATTGTAATTTGTGTGAAAACAAACTTTTGGCATTTACATGTAGTAGTAACGCAAATCAAAGCAAGTAGCTTAAAAGTTAAATTGCAATGAATAAATTTTGCTTTGGTAATGGTAGTAGTTAAGAGATAAGGCTAATTAACTGAAATTTCTAGAATATTTGTAACTATTTCACTATAAATTTATTACAACTTTTAAATGAATGATTCATTAGTTTTGCTTAACTGACTAATTTTCTGCCATTTTGATAAATTAAGCTAATGAGTATTCAAGAAGCTTTTTCAATTAATTAAGTAAAGGACATGGGGATTTATTATATATAGAATAAAGTCAAATTTGTTATCATATATATGTGAAACATATTTAAGTGCTTAGAAATTAAGAACTTAGGGATAAGCAAACTGAGAGTAGGTTATTTTACCCACCAAAAACAAACACTTACCCATCTAAATAAAACATTTTATATCTGTATGTCTGTCTACTCAAACAAAACATGAGTACCAAATTATGAGCTAACAGTAACACTATTTGAAACAAGCTGTACTATTTTTACAGGAGAACAGTTCCAAGAGCAAAAAATAGATGTGCCTAAGAGTAAAACAAAGCATAAAGTTAGGTTTCCATTATTGTCATTTTACAGAATCTAAAAGAATTCTGATACAATGGTAGCCTGCATATGCCCTAACAAAATTTTATAATTGTTGCATACTGATAGGAAAAAATACATTACAAGTATGACAATACCAGTTGTTGTTTTTTGTAACCAGAGTTTAAGATACACTTAATAACATTAAGATTAATTTACAAATTATAAATTTAAGTTTTCAGCTTGTGGAAGAAATCTAGTTTGGACTTGAGAACTAAGAAATGTGTTGTAAGAATAATAATCAGTTTCATATTTTTAGTATGTTATAACAGTAACACTGCTTTGTGTGTATATACACACACACACACACACACACACACACACACACACACA